TGCATGACCATTATTTTTCCCTATAAGGAACTGCTGTAGTTGCCACAGGAATGTTTTGCTGTTATCAGCAGCATAGACGCTGATCTGGTTACAAGACAATCCTTCTATGAAGGTTGTGGTTCCCTCCATAAAAAAAACAAAACAAAAAAACCCCGTTAATAACTCGGGGTTAGACACAATGCTTTGAGTGACAATAACAGATGGAGAAGGCTGTGAAAAGAAGACCAGTAATTAAGCAGTGGCTATTCTTGTCATTACTTTCGTTGCTATGTCCTCCTCTTGGTGTTTCTCATTATTCGGATTTAAAAGGTGTCTATTTATATTTTTATTTCTTAAAAGATGTTAACTACCATGGTGAATGTTTGGTGGGGAGGGAAGAAAAACATCAGGCAGAAGTGGTTTAATAGGCACAAGAGAGTGTAAGGCGGAAGGAGTGTAAAAGGAGAAAAATAAATGATTAGAAGGGGGTTCAGGTAGTCAGTGATACAAGGCAGGCCATTACACCAAGTTGGAAAGAGACTCAAAAACCAGAGAGGAGGTAAGAACCCTTTGAACCTAATTCTGTTTGGCCCAGCACGTCATGTCATCATTTATATCAGTGCAAACTGTTTGTAAAGTTCTCCAAGATCAGTGTGACAATGATCTATGTCTGCAGGCCCTGAGTGCCCCACGGTGCTGGGGCTCCAGCACTGCCACGTTTCAATCTCGGAGGCTGCGCCTACATGAGGCGCTGACTGCATAGTAGTCTGTGGCTACTGCACAGTAGTGTCATGTGGCAGGAAGTGTGACGCTATCGTGCAGTAGTCAAGAGCTACCGCACAGTCAGCATCATAAGAAAAGCCCTTCCTCCGCGCCACTGTGCAGTAACTCTGGTTACTACACAGTTATTTAGTACTTGGTTTATACAAGTACTAAATGACCGTGCAGTAACCACGGCACAGTCAGGGTCTTGTGTAGACGCTGCCAGAGTGTACTGAATGGCTGTTAAATCCGTTTGGCACCGATTGTTTATGTTCTTCCATGGAGCTTCCACACTACAGTCAGGGTGAACAACGTTTTATAGCAAGAGGAATGCTTCCAGACTAGAGTCCATGACCAATTACTTTAGTCCTGGGAACAGCTTATCCCCTAGGATGAGCAGAGTGAGGAACATTTTCTTTTTAGAACTGCATTCACAGAAGAGCCTTCATTCAATGCCCCCCTCTTGAAATCTGGTTATGGAAATGCAGGTTTTGGGGGGGGTTGCATGATTTTCCTTGGATATACCCCTAACAGAAGGACTCAAATCCAGCCACTTCTAGGTCGATAGTAGTATTTCATGATGCCTCCAGCCGATAATTGCAGAGAGGTCTAGAAACATTAGGACTGGTCTGTTCTCCGTCCATGGACAGCAGATGAACCATCGGTACCTCTAACACCGCTCCTGTTGTGTCCTGGTCCGATTCCAGGGTCTGACATGACCTTGACAGCGGCTCTGGCTGGCTTCCCCAGCAGGAAGGCGAGGCGATGTGTGATATTTGGCCGCAGTCAGCCAGGTCCGATGTGCCCGGCGGTGTCCTGCAGTGCTGGGAGGACAGCCCTGTGCTTGCGGGGAACAGAGGGAGCTGTTGTTCGGTGGCCGCTTTCCGCAGCGGCACAGCGCGGGTGCTGTCCTCGTGGGGCTGCAGCGAGCGGAGCGCTCCGGGCCCCCGGGGCTGCTGAACTTGCCCGCCCGGCGCCCAGCGCCCAGCGCCCCGCTCCTGCAGGACCCAGCCCGCCCCGCACCGCCCCTGCAGCGGGGCCCGGCTCCTCCTCCTC